GCAACATTTTCTGGGGTCAACAGATTTTATGCCCGAAACATAAAATTCAAGTAATATTATCCCATTAAATTTTCCTAATAAGATTTTTAATGAGACAAATTTTATAGTGTACTCAAAAGAATAATGTAATTTTTTTCCTTTATTAGTAACTTTTTCGTAGGATTTTTCCTAATAAGGTTTTAATGAGGTATATTATTTGTGTAATGAATGTTAACATCTATCCTCAAAATCTCCTATATGTATTAGATTCTTCAAGAGATCAACAAGAGTTATTTTTCAAATTATCATATTACTACGATCATCAAAGATTGAGAAATATCTCGTCTGAAAACGGTATTATTTCAAAATTATGTAAGATAACATGAGACATACTTCACAAGAAATTGCAATATTGAAGATGTTGACATACAAGATAAAGGTGAATTAATACAAATATTGAAATTAGGGGAGCAGTTGTACTTTTTTCCTTCGATTAAGTTTTGCTCCATTGGATTTTCTTAACAAGGTTTTAATGAGTCGAATATTATGTTATGTGTTGTTCAAAGGAAAGTATTGTAAATGATAAGTTTATCAATGAATAACAATTGTAACCATAGAAGTTATTACCTTGATATCTCTAATCATTTTCTATACATATGAGATTTTGAATCTCAATAAAATGCACACAAATTTATTGGTTTCTCGCTTTTGTTCACTTTTGTTTGTAGCAATAGAAAAGTTTAAAGCTATTTTAATGGACATTTTAGATGGAAAAATAATGGATATTTAACTGTGAAAATAATGAAAAACATCACGGAAGGACCAACGGAGTTCTAAACCTAGTAATTGGGAATGATTTTTCCAATAAAAGTAGGTTGGGGATCAAGGCTACAATTTTCCCTAAGCAAAACGCTACTGTTTGTGATGAAAAAAAATTGAAAAACGTAAAAACAGAAGAATGGCCTCTCCTAGTAAAATTTCTCTCCCAGTTTTTTTTTTTTTTGTTTTCTCTATCTACCGGTACGCGTGTTATAATTAATTTAGAGTTAAGGATTTTAAATTTCGATTGCTAAGGTAGAAATCCCAGTTCTTGAATCTCGTGTAATTCAGATTCTTCGATGAGCTCAAAATCTGGCTAGGGTTTTGAGCAACTGTTTCTGTGTGTATATTTGCACATTAGCATTCGATCATGGCACTGGCTACAACGACGCAGTCGCTTAGGTTTATTCCTCCGGCGGCTGCCACCGGCGCCGGAAACCTCGATGCATTGAATCGCGTTCTTGCAGACCTCTGCACCCGCAATCCTAAGGTTTGTTGTCCATTTTTTATTTTAATATTTTCACAAAGTTCTTTGTTTCTGTTGAATTTTATTTCTTGACATGTTTGAGATAGACGAATTCTTAGGTTTTGTTTATAAGAATATTTGTGCGTTCCTAAAACTGGAATATTATAGGGACGGCTACAGAATCCCAAGCCCGCAACTTTAGCAAGAAATTTAACCTACGTAGATGCCATAACTAGAAAGACTGCAATTTTCTTTAAGTTGCTGATTGTATACTAATAGGATATCAATATTATATGGTATTGGGTTTGCTCCCCGTCACCAGTTCGACTCCATCAGGCCACTGAGGCGAGTACCCGACCGTAAACTTTAGTCCCGTGGAATTAGTCGAGATGCGCGCAAACT